AGTCCCCCGACTGTTAGTTCAGACCTAGTTAAGGACTACCTGGAGGGCTTAGATGTGTCCAAGTCAGCGGGCCCAGATGACTTTCATCCGCGGGTGCTGAGGGAATTGGCTGGTGTAATTGCAGAGCCATTGGTACGGCTGTTTGAGGACTCCTGGTGCTCGGGCCAAGTCCCTGAGGACTGGAAAAGGGCCAATGTGGTCCCTATTTTCAAGAAAGGGAAAAAGGAAGAGCCTGGCAACTACAGGCCAGTCAGCCTCACTTCTATCCTGGGGACGGTCTTTGAAAAAATTATCAAGGGCCACATTTGTGAGAGCCCTGCAGGGGAAGTGATGTTGAGGGGTAACCAGCATGGGTTCGTGCCAGGCCGATCCTGCCTGACTAACATGGTTTCTTTCTATGACCAGGTAACAAAGAGCTTAGATATGAAGGAGGAAGTCGATGTCATCTTCTTGGACTTCCAGAAAACCTTCGACACAGTGTCCCACCCAATTCTGGTGGGCAAGCTGAGGGACAGCGGCATTGACGAATGCACGGTCACATGGGTGGCAAACTGGCTCCGGGGCGAACCCAGGGGGTGGTGGTGGATGGATGGATGTCAGCCTGGGAGGGCGTGGGCAGAGGAGTCCCCCAGGGCTCGGTCCTTGGGCCAGTGCTGTTCAACATCTTCATTAGCGACCTGGACAAGGGTGTGGAGAGCATCCTATTCAAGTTCACTGATGACACCAAGCTGTGGGGTAAAGTGAATACACCAGCAGGCAGAGGTATACCATGTGTTTTTGCAAGTTGTATAGTTGCAAGTTGTGGCTATTATTATGTTTGCTAAACTTCAGCCAATTCAATAAAAAGGAAAAAGCAAAGTAAAGAAATCTCTTTTGTTAAACTCTTCCCTTTAGGTAACATGAAGAAGACAAGAGGATAGCCATGTATCCCCCACTACAAGTGAGATCCAGGGGGAAGTATATAGCCGGAGAAGTCTTGAGAAAACTATTGAAACCTTAAATGTAAATATAAAATTACTGAGATGTTAATGAAATCGGTATACTTTCACTTTTGGAAAGCTAATTAGTAGGTGTAGCATTCAAACAGTTAATTTCTTAGAAATAGTTCTACTCTGGATAATAGGAAAATAGGGCTGGAAGGGACCTCTTGAGGTTATCTAGCCTAGCCCCCTGCTCAAGGCAGGATCATCCCTGACTAAACCATTCCAGCTAAGTGTCAGTACAACCTGCTCTTGAAAGTTTCCACAGATGGAGATTTCACAATTTCCCTGTTCCACAACTTCCCCGTTTCCTGTTGACCATCCTCACAGTCAACAAGTTCTTCCTAATCTCCAATCTAAATTGCCTTTGTTGAAGTTTAAGACCACAATTCCTAGTCCTATCCCCTATTGGCAAAGAAAAGCCCATCTCCATCCTCTATGTAATCATTCTTCAGGTATTTGAAGACTGTTATCAAATCCCTTGCAATCGTCTCTTCTCCAGATTCAATAAACCTAGTTCTTTCAGGCCTCTTATAAGTCTTGTTCCCCAGGCTTTTCTTATATTTGTCACTCTGCTGGATTCTAATCTGCCCACATCCTTCTTGAAGTATGGAGTCCAAAACTGGGCATAATACTTCAGGTGAGGCCTCATCAGTGCCAAACAGGGAAGAAGAAACACTTCCCTTTATTTGCAAGTTAATAACCTGTCCCCAATAAAATCCTGGTATTCTGTTAATAAAAACTGGAATGGGCAGATCTAGGATTTTTATTTATTTTTATTTTTTTGGGAGGGGGGGAGGCCAGATACTGTGGTGCATCATCATATATAACCCGCCATACATTTTTCTCCAGGTAAAAATAAACCAGAATCTCTACTGATATGCTAGGGGCCTAGGGCTATATTATTCAGGTTAAGATAGAAGTAAAACAAATATAACTTCATTGGAATGTGCACTAATTTGTTACATCATATACAAAACACAACAAACAAGGTAAAAAAAATAAATCAAAATATGTTGTTTCTTTAATCCTGTTGTTATTAGAATGAAAAAACCTTTCAGATTCATAAAATAAAAAAGTAGCCTTCTTGAGCTTCTTGACAGTGAATCCAATGCGTCATTGAAAGTTATTTCTATACCTGAGTTGACAGTCACCTGACTTAGTGTTTCCATACCTGAGTTAACATTTTTACTTTGAGTTAAAAATAGAGGTGCACTGATATATTGGTCGCAAATTGGATCAGCGCTAATAACAGGAAAATTAACATTACTGGCAATTGGCTTTTTTTGGCCGATAATGTCACCAATAAATGCTGTGTGCACGTGCACAGCTGCAGCATGCATGTGGCCAGGAATGCAGCCTAGCAGCTTGAAGAGCACTCTCCTTCTGGTAAGTCTGTGTGGAGGAGGGAGCGTGGGGGAGAGAAGGGGCATAGGGGTGGAGAGGCAGATCGAGGTCCCTATGGTGAGGGAGTGGGGCAGGGGCAGGCACTTCCCAGCCAGGGCCTAGGGCCAGGAGCAGGAGGGAGCCACAGGCGCCTCATCCACGGGGTGCAGGGAGTGGGGTGGGGAGGTGAGGCAGCTCCCTGCCTCTACGTACACCCCCAGGGCAGGCATGTGCCCCCACCCTGCCGATTTGTACATAGGGTGAGGGTGCGCTGCCTGCTCCGGGCTTTGGACCAGGGGCTGGGTCAAGGGCTGCACTTGAGGTGGGCAGTGGCAGCAGTGCTTGGGAGAGGTGGCTACAGGGAATTTTGGGGTGGCTATAGGCCCCCCCCCAATCCCTGCCCCCCCCAGCACCACCCAATTGGGGCACTCCACTTTCTAAAGCATCTTCAATTCCACACAACATTCTAGTTTATGAAGGACATTCCTTTTAAGCACACAGCCTTGGAACTAAAACCCCTCCCTCATGTACTTACCTGAAGTATGTGCTTACCAAAATTTAATGAACATTAAGAAGACAGCACTGCCAGTATTGAGACAGTGGCACTGATTAGCTTCCCTCATTTTCAATGTTTCTAATAGCCAGTTTCAGGTCTGCTATTAGCAGCCTTGAAAATGAAAGGAGCTAGTCAATTTGGAGGCTGCTAACACCACACCACTGACAGTGCTACGTATTTAACAAGCCCTGTACCACAGCATTGACAGTACTGTAAACTGGCAGCCACAAAACTGACAAGTTCCTGTGGTTTTTCAAGGCTTCTAAATAGTCAGTTTCAAGGCTGTTATTAAATGCCTTGAAAACGAGGCAAGAGAGCAACTGCAAGAATAACTAGCTCTTGTCATTTTCAAGGCTTCTAATAGCCCTTTGACAGCTGCTTCCTCTTCTCATTTCTGGTGCAGTTAAACAAAACACAATTAATCACAAAATATACTTATAGCTTGTATACAGTTAACATGGGCAAACGAAGTCACAAAAGCTGAATTGGAGCAATACAAAGGTGAAACTGATCTGTACAAAGACATTTTGAAGTCTGCAGCTAAAAAAAAATACATTTCACAATTAGTCAGTTCAGTCAGTATTATAAAAGGCCTGCTTGCATCCATCACCCATGCCAAACTGCCAAATAGCAGCACCCATAAATAATACCTTCCATCATTTCTAGCTGGTCACTAAACTACATGCCATTCTAGTATGCAGCAAAGGGACCTCAGCTCCTTACATATAATCACCTCTTCACTACACCAGAGAAATAAATATATGTACGCGTGAAGTCCATGTTTCCTGAGAATACATTCCATATTGAATACTGCAGAAACCAAGCTCCTGTAAGCACATCAAACTCCTCCTCCCGACTTCCTACACTGGCTTCCTTTACAATTTAAAATCATGTTCAAGGTTTCTGCCCCTAACTTCAAAGCTCTTCATGGACTCAGGAGATTTCAGACAATCTTTTAAGTTCCAGGAGGAAGACCACAGTTGACACATTCAGACACAATGGATTTCTTGATAATGAGAGATAAAGATTATCTGTGTGTCAGGCAAAAGTTTCCCTGGAGCCCATTCAAGTCTGTGGAACAAATTCCTTCAGGAACCAAGGAACCATTACAAACCCCATCACCTTCCATTCCAAACATAAAGCTTATATCTTTGAACGTCAATACTTTCTCTTTCATATACAAAATAATATGTATATTACACAGAAAAATGCTATTAAAATAAAACACTCCCCTGCACAGGGAATAGAGGGCAAAGCTGAGGGAAAAGACGATACTTAACAGTCGCATTGCTTTATTCACTAGTTAAAATTATTCCTGTCTTACAGTGATGGGTATAGTATTGAGACAAAATAGATAGGACAGGTGAATGAATGATTTACTTCTTTTCTCCACTAACATAAACAGATGACGTGTTCAATTCTGTTAAGGTGTCTTAAACAAAATGTCATTTGATACCAGATAAGCACTTATCAAGTTATTTGCGTTATATTAAAGTACTATTTATGCAACTAAAATTAATTGTTATTTATGGTCTTTTATAAATCCTAAATTCTATTTCTCTATCTTCATACATTTGGAATTTCATACAGCTGAAATTTACACTTCTGGCCAAATGTTGTTTGCCTTACATCACAATGGCAAAGATCTGTTCTATCTTATTACTATATAGATGTTATATTAAAAAAAATGTTAGGGTATACTAAGTTAGAATATCAATTTCACCAAGCTCAGTCACTGAAAGTCAAACTTTTTCAATGATAATCTTACCTCTTCATCTGACAAATTTTTGCCAACTGTAGTCTTGAAATATGTTGCTGTTTCTTCTACAATCTCCATCCATTCTGTCAAATTCCAAACACTGGTATAATCTGGGTATCGAGGATATGCACGGCCACATATACCATCAACTACTTTGTGAAAGAACTGGAAAAAACAAATGAAAACAAAAGTTTAGGCAGTGTTTGCTCCACTATTAAGCCATACAGGAAGCAGGTTCAGGTCCAGGGAAAAAATGGTTATTATTCTTCCTTCAGCAGAGTACTAAATGAATGGGGCATCCACATGGCAAAAAGGGGCCCTCATACAGTGTAAGGCATTATCATGGAACAGCTGTAAAACAAACAGATCTGTGTGATCCTTAACATGTCTCCTCCTGTGAGCAATACTGATGTTTAACTTCCATCCCTTAGCCCAGGTCCCCTTGGGTCATTAAAAAATGCCTCTTTCAAGTTTCATTTGGATAGTTTCTTTTTATTTTTCTTCCTGCAGTGTGCAGTGCTGACATACATCTGAACAGTACCTGCACCTTACCAAAGAGGAACATAGTGATTTCTGTGAAGTATCTGGGAGTCTTCAGAATGAAAGAAATTGTAAACAAGCATAAAACATTTCTCAGTCAGTCTCTTCTGTTACCAGTTCTCCATTCCCCAATCATCAGCCTGACAGCTCCCATTAGCTCATTTCTCTGTCCTTAAGACCCCTGTACAAGCTACTTTCTTTGAGATTAAGGAATATTTGACCATTACTGCACTCATGGATGGATCCAACTGTCCTTTATAATGGTCTCTAGTCCACTCTTCAAACTATCTGCTACTCTACAATTTTGCTGTCTCTTAGCCAGTCCTGGTAATGTTTCTTTCCCATTTAATCACCCAGCAGACCATTTTTAGTTCTAGCAAAAGGCCTTAACTCAGGTGTTGCAGCATTAATCCTGATATAGAAATGACTGCCAGTGAGGTACTGGAGGTACTGTCAAGATGCACAAGGAGACTAGATTTGGTTTTGCTTGGTCTGACTCACAAAAGGCGACAAATAGATCCATGTGGTCCTCAACATGTTTTGCAGCTGTTCCATAAAAGCACCTGATGCTGCGTGAGGGCCTCTTTGTACCATCCCGATGTCCCATTAATTTAGAGCTCAACTGACAGATTTTGCTTCATGAGGCAGAGACATGTATGCAACTGTAATACCTAATGCCACGCTCTCTTGTGACTATTTTAGCCTGGTTTGCCACGTGCATACTTTTTTCAGCTTTCTATAATCTCTAGCTAATGAGTTCACATTCCAATAGCAAAAATCAATCAGGACTCGTAGTAGAGATGATCTCTTTTATTAGACCAACACAAGCTTTCAGTTCACAAACACCCTTCATCAGGCATTGGAGAAAAGATTGTAAAAGTTCTCCTGGGTAGAAATGAAAGTTCATGTCATAGGATTTCACAGATAGATTCATGCTTGTTTTAGCTTTCATCTTTATGTGGATAATAGGGTGCTGGCCCCTTCGCCTATTCCTAAAGCTTCTAGTTTCTCTTTCACTGGAATCATAGAGAAGTTGAGCTGGCAGGGACCTTCAGAGGTCACCCAGTCCAAGCCCCTGCCTGAGCCAAGATCATCCCTATCCAAACCCTCATCTAAACTCTACACTAGAGAACCATCAGCCCTGACGCAACACAGACCTCACACTCTGACCTGAGAGGAACAGGGGCAGCCAAATCTCCTGCTTGTACCCATCAGGAAGTGAGCCTCATCACCCCCATTTTACAGATGAGAAAACACAGACAGTGGGGAGTAGAAAAGATCTGCCCGTGACCACTCAGCAGGCGGATGGAGGAACCGAGACTAGAGCCCCCGGCTCCCAGTCCCGGGGCAGGTTTCCCATGGCAAAGCCGAGGAGACCCCGCGCCCTGCACCCGCCGGGCGGGGGGTGGAGTCAGGACAGCCCCGCGGGCCGACAGCCAGCCCCTGTGCCCGCGCCCCCGCCTCACCTTGGCGGCCCGTTCGGCCGGCAGCTTCTCCAGCAGCCGCATGTCCGCGCCACGTGACCCACCGCCCGGCCACGCCCCTCGCCTTCCCGGCGGCGCGGGGAGGGGACTCGGGAGGGTGGAGAGCGCCGCAGCACATGCGCTCTGCCGGGAGCCGGGCCCGGCGCGGATGGAGACGGCCGCGGCCTGAGGGGCGGGGGGAGTGACGCAGTCAGGTGGTTCCGGCGCGCCGACCAGGGGCTGCCACCCGGGCTCCGCCCCCTCCCCGGACGATGGGTCAGCTCAGGGGCTCGGGGGAGGGTCTAGCACCCCGTCTGGAGCAAGCAGGGTGGGCGCCTGGCGTGCCCTAGACCGGCATTTCTCAACCACCCGTAGGTCGCAAGAAGACATGAAAGGGTTGCAAACAAATCTAAAAGTGGACCCACAGGCTTTAAATTGGATTCTCCGTTAATGAGGAAAAGCATGGGAAACCTGGCTTTTCCCTTGCAGGTTGGCAGAGTTCCAGCCTGTGAGGGGCTGCTGGAGCCCCCTCTGCCCCATCCCCCTGCCCCACTCACCGAGGCACGGGGTTGGGACTGGCCGCTGGTGTTTACAAATGGGTCTTAGTACCAAAAAAAGGTTAAAAACCAGTGTCCTAGACCAGCTGGGGCAGGTGCTACATGCTGTGCAGGTCCCGGCCCAGCCAGAGTGGGCATCGTGTATGGTGCATGTCCTGGGCCCCCACACAGAGCTGGCCTGGCCCGTGCCACGTGCAGCATGTGAGCCAAATGTAGAGCAGTGTTTCTCAACCTGCGGGTTGCAGGAATGTGCAAAAGGGCAGCAAACAAACTTTAAAAACTGATTCTCCTTTAAAGAAGAAAAATGTGGGAAATGGCGGCGTTTCCCTTGCAGGCTGTCAGAGTTCCAGCCTGCACAGGGCTGCTTGTGGCCCCCCATTCCCCACGCACTCAGTGTTTGGGGACTGGTCTGTGAGGGGCAGTGGGTCAGGAGTGAGGGGCACTGGGTCGGGACTGGCCATCAATGTTTACAAGCGGATCCTGGTACAAAAAAAGGTTGAGAACCACTGGTCTAGAGCAGGGGCAGCACTGGAGGCCGGATGATGGGGCTCCAAGGGTCGTATCTGTGCCAGTCAAAGAAGCACAGAAGACTAAGAATTGGCATTTCCCAAGGGAGAATGCCTTAACTATAACAAGCAGTGCCTTCAATCTGAAAAGGTTGAGAACCACTATGATAGATACAAAGAATATGAAAATCTGGCACAACTTTCCCATGACGTAGAGTGGTACTGAGGCAGGCCCTGCGATACTGGGTTATGTTAGGAGCAGGAGGGGTGTGAAGTTCCAGACTATGCCTCAGGCGCTCATGCTATGTTAGCAAAAGAGAATATCAGAAATAGCAGCTTAATTTTTTTAAAGCTATAATGTATTTTAAATGCAAGTGTAAATAGCTTTTCATGCTATTGGTGGAACAGTAGAGATAAAGAGATTCTGTTTTAAAGACGTGTAATCATAGAAGTAGGGTCAGAAGGGACCTTGTAGATCTTCAAGTCCAACCCCATAATAATGACCAATGCTTGTTTCCCAGAATTTCCACTTGTAGCTTTGGTTCAAAACTGCATTGTAGATCAGAGATTCACGGTTTACTACCCTTAATCTGGCACTGGGTCTTCAGTGGCATTCGACCACAGGGGTCTTGAACAGCAGTCATTTTCCCCTGCCGCCATGGAGAAGAGCAGGCTCTCCCAGTACCACCACAGGGAAGAGTGGTAATGGGGGGAACTTTCCCCTGCTGCTGCTGCTGGGAAAAGTGGTGGCAGTGCCTGGGTCCTAACATTCACCTGACTGTCTCTGACCCAGACTGGGCCAATCTGGCTCACAGCCTTAAACAATTGCCAGCTGTTGTAGATCAGTGGTTTTTAACCTGCGATCCATGGACCCCTGGGGATCCGCAGACTATGTCAAAGGGGTCCGTGAAAGTTGCCTACGATCAATCAGAAGTATCTGAATACCCATACTTGCCATTCAGAGGGGTCTGCACCTCCATTCAAAATGTCCAAAGGGATCTGCACCTTCATTTAAAAAAAAATTTAGGGGGTCCGCAAATGAAAAACGGTTGAAAACCTCTGTTGTAGATTATAGGCAATCAGGCCACACAGGCATACCAGTGTCACCAAAAGCAAAGTAGAACAGCAGAGGGAGCCCTGCACGAAACAAAACTAGAGGGGATTAAAATGAAAGAAAGGGAGAAGTAGGAAGACATCTGTGCAGCTGTCACAGTGGATCTTAAATTTTCTAGTCCCACAACCAGTCTACATGATTCAATATCATGTGTGCAATCTGCATTTCCAATTTAGCTAAACTTGAATTGACTCTTACAATATTCCCATATATTTCCAGTATCTTATCAACTGCTTGAGGTTCGCAGGCTAGAATACCATCTACACTTCTGGCAAATGTTAACAATTCCTCAGAAAACCTCCTTTTAATTTTCTGTTAGAGCACTGAAAACTGGTTAAAAAGTTGCATATGCCACTTTTGCTTATTACAGGCAACCCTCGCTATTCGCAGGGGATACATTCTCGTATCCCCCACGAATGGCAAAATACGCAAATAAGACACTGCGTTCATGAACGCAGTGCCCGGGCAGCTGGAGGGAGGGGGCACGGCTCTGGTGGCTGTGGTGGGAGCCCGGCAGCAGCAAGTGCAGAGCTCCTGAGGAGCTCCTGTAAGTGTATATAAAGTGTATTTAAAATGCAGGTTCGGCATTCACGAATATTTGAAACCGCGAATGCCGAACCCGTGAATAGCAAGGGTTTCCTGTATTTTTGTGGTTTCAAGGTAAGGTGCTTTCTTGCACCACAGCTTGAGTCCACAACAAAGTCACTCAGTTTTAAGCCTTCCTCAGAGGTCAAATAGGTTTGTCTTTGTCCCCCTCAAGCATTATTCCTACATTTTCCCCATATCACAGCTCATCTCCCCAGATGCCGTTTCAGGCTTGTTCATTTTTCATATTTTTCCGTTGCGGCAGTGCTAGTAACTATTCTTGCAACTGTGTACAGTGAGGCCTTTTCAGACTGCAGTGCCTTGTGAGCAACATGAATTAATAACAGTAGGTTCTCAAAAACAATGAGACAGATGATCAAATCTGCTTTTTTTTGCACTTGGTACAGCAATCCATTTGCTTCAACAAAATTCTAGTTACTTCCATCCCGAGAGAGCTTGGTTAGGCATTGGATAACAACCTTTAAAAATTAGACTTGCACGCTTTGACATTTTTCCACACCCAACATGTATCACTAAGACTTGTTAACTCCACAGATTTTACACCTAGGGTATGCTGCACATCACCAAAAAGTGCATGGTTCCCAGGCATGGAGAAAAAACAATACAATTACTCTAAAATGCAAAAAAAATCACAACACAATTCTGTTTACTTTACAAGCATCCACAAAAACAAGATTAAGCTTACGTGCCATACAGTGGGTGTAGATAGCTGTTGGGTGGTTGTTCCTAATTTTCCACTGGGCTCTGTTTGCGTCGTTGGACATAATGCTCACTCCACCATATGCTTGACCCACTATTGGAACAGCACTTAGTCCAGCTTCCTCTATATCTTCATTGAGACAATTGTAGATCTGCTCTGCATTTCTACATAATGCACACAGATCGAAAGTTGCTCTTTTTTAAAAGACCACCCTACATCAGCAATCAGGCAATAAAATCCCGCATTCCTCATGTCTTTGGCTGTTTGTTTCCTCACTGGGTCAGTCTCAATATACAGGAACTCGTTTTGAATTTCATGTCTTGTCATCTTAAACATGTCATTCAGTTTCCTCTGAACTTGCTCATCATATTTTGCAAAATGTGAGCATAACTCAAGACAATTCCCACTGTTTTCTGACTTTTCCTTTTCATCATGACCCATAAGGGGAAATCCTTGTCGTGAAAGATGGAGCAGCAAGTCGGTAATTCTTCAAACAGTTTTCCTGAACAGTCATTTTGTGGGAGTTTGACAGGTGACATACAGCTGAGCCTGATTTACTTACTGCCTGGTAATTTTTTCCGTTTACTCACATATTCCAAGTAAACCTTACAATTGGAGTGACTGTTCAGCTTTTCAATTATTTTTTTCCAATCTCACAACCCCTTTTCTATAAAAGCATTTCATAGATTCATAGATGCTAGGGTTGGAAGGGACCTCAACAGATCATTGAGTCTGACCCCCTGCCTGGGCAAGAAAGAGTGCTGGGGTCTGATGTTATCTTTGTATTCAGAAGAACTGTAAACAATTCTGCAGGGATAGCAAAATATAGCATCTGTTGGCACACTGTATTCAATAAAGGGATACCAGTTGAACAACGATGATGAGAATGATTGATTTTGTTTGCCAAATAAACTTTGGGGATAATTACTCAACTTCACCTCTACAGGCCCATCTGATAGGCCTCCTAATTTAAAATCCATCAAAACACTAGCAGCAGCAGAGAAACTTAAATTCTTATCAGTGATGTGCATGTCATCTGCATTTTTTTGTTTTGTGTTGATGAGCGATTTCCACAATGACTGCTTTATTATTTTTTCAAACAATGCCATAAAAATCAACATTGGTTGAATTTCCTCATTAGCTGTATTTGCATTTGCACTTGACTCTCTGGGTTTAAAAAAATCTCCTTATGTCTGCTGCCATTTTACCACCTCACGCACAGAATGCACCACGCCACTGTACTGAATTTATCAACCAAACTGCAGCATGCATCATCATGTCAAAAACTGAGACCTGCGCACAGTAACAGAGGTTGCTGCACGCTTCATGGTTAGTGATTTTGAATAGGCGTTCATTATGGGTCATTAGTAATAGTTTGTTTCAAGACTTCAAAGGTTTGTGAATTAGCTTACCTTAGCCCCTCCAAAATTAGCATGGGGAGGCTAGGCCCTGTTAGCCCCGGCCTTCCGCTTGCCTGTGCACATGTATACATATTCCACAGTGTAATAAACAACAGGACCAGATTTTGGGGTCTACAGTTCCCCTCCTTCCCCTCAGTTCCCCCTACAAGGGGATGACTTGATGGAACATTTTCTTCAGGAGATGATCTCATAGCTTGACTCTTACC